TTAGTGGTTTGGGGATCGGGTTTGGGGTTAGGGGTTAGGGGTTTGGGGATCGGGTTAGGGGTTTGGGATTTGGGATTTGGGTTTGGGGCTAAGTTTGAGCTTGGCCTGTTTGCTGACTTCTCGACTCCCCCTCCTCCCCACCCCCCAACCCCAGCAGGAGTCAGCCTTCCTCGAGGGGCCTGGTAGGGAGGACGCCTCATGGCCCAGGTCCCCCGGTGCCACCCCTCAGAAGGGCAAGACGAAGGGGCGCAGCTCCCTGCACCATCTCCACCAGTGCCAGGCCGTGGACCTGTCCGAGGAGGACGAGGTGAACGAGGGGGGGCACCGAGACGCTGTGCCAGAACAGACTGCGGGCCTGGGGACGGTAGGGGCCGGACCCTCGGCTGCGGAGGGAGGGGGCAGGGCAGCGAGGAATTACCCCCCCGGGAAGGCTGCCCCCCCACACCGTCACTCAGTGGCTGCCCTACAGGAGGCAGCTCTGGTGTCACAGCGAATGAAGCATTTCACTGAGGGAGGGCCGATGGAAAGTCTCCCGGGGGAGGGGGACGGAAGCTGAGGAAACCGCCTCCCCACACCCCCCCCACCCCCTGTAGCTATCCCTGACAGCCCCCCTCCTCATATTCCACCCGCTCGCTACAGCTCGCTATGTCCACATTGTGATTATTACACAGCAACCCCGCACCATCCCGCCCCTTCAAATCCCATCCCCCTGTCCCCCCTCCCGGATATTCCCAGCAATCTCTGATATTCCCAAATTGTCTCCACCCATCAGCAAACTTGCTGCATTTCCCATCCTCCTCTCAACCGCCAACAACAACAATGGAGCTGCCTGTATTGACGTAGCGCCTCAGCGCAGTAACACGCCCCGGAGTGTTTCACAAGGGGCCGTGTTCAGGAACCAGAGCCTCGGGGGGCGCCTCGCGGGGTTCTGGGGCCAAGCTCAGTCAAATGCTGGGGGGCAGCGGGTGGGTTCAGGAGCGTCTTAGAGCAGGAGGGAGGGAGAGAGAGAGGGGGGTGAGGAGGTGGGAGGGAGATGGAGAGCATGAGGGAGGAAATGGCAGAGCTCCAGGCCCAGGCACGTGGAGGCATGGGCCCCAAACGTGGACTGATGGGAATCGGGGCATGGTCAAGATTGATGGAATGCAGAGACCTCAGAGAATAGGAAGAGGTTACAGAGATAGGGAGGGGG